CTTTCGGCTATCTCTCTATCATAAGGAAACGATTCAAGGCATGCTTTCACATCGGAATAATTTGCGCTAAATTCTGGATCTTTGTTAGATTTTTGATATTCAATTGCTATTCTCGCACATGCATCTTCATTCTTTGTGTCGAGTGAATTAGCTGATGATAATGCGATCAACACGAAAATTAATATGTGTAACAATAATTTCATTTTTATTGTTATTTAATAAATAGAACAAAAAAATTTGGGCCATGACAAAAATTCATTCAATTTATAGCTTTTTTCTTGAAATTGAATTTTTATTCCTTAGTATATTTTACAATATTGAAATTATTCAAATGAACCCTTCAAAAAATGGAAATATTTATAAAAGGATTAGTTTTAAGAAAAGGAAGAAGCCACGGGTGGCTAGGAAAAAAAAGCTAATTCATAGGTACTGTACTATCTAATATCTGATGCTACTGGATTAATTCTGCTCAGGCGCGCGGCAACTACAACGGGCCGTATATTAATTCCTAGTCCCAGCCCAAATCAAGCCTCTTGGCTGAAAATCACGTTTACATATCTCAGCCACTACGGGATGATGCAAATTTCTACAAAAGATTGTAGTAACTTTGAACATGCTTCGGATATTGAAGGACTCAAATTATGAAACGTTCAAAGCAATAGACAATACAATATACGTTGAGAAATCTGATTATTTAGATGGTCTTTCATGAGCAAATCATTTAAGAGGAAAGGTTGGTTTGATTACAAAATTCTAGGTGGCTGAGTCGAAATGTCATTGAAGAAAAGTTAAAAAAATTCTTAATAAATTGTTTCTTGATTAATTAATAATTAGCGGGTATAATTAATCAAAACCATATGACCCTATAATTTAACCACTATGTAGTGGGAATGTTTTAATTTTACGGTTCATGATGAGAATTTACATGTTAAAAACCAGTTTTACGATCTTATTTGAATAAGGTTTTATGACGCAAATTCTACTTTACATCCATTCAAGACATAAAATTTTCGTCTATTAAAAAAAAGATCTAGCATTATATTTACGTTTCAAAACATTAAATAAGCGCCAAAGTGTTTATTAAAATTTTTTTTTTTTTTAATTACATTTTTGCGTACTTTTTTTTTCAATCCATCGTGCAAATTCTCTTTTTTAATTTCATCAAGATTTCTCTTATTAAAAATTCTAAATCGATAATGTTGAATCCTTGGGCATGGTTTCCGTTCGAAAATTCAAAAAGAGATTCAAACTTTCGACAGTATGATACGAATTCGAATCTCGCAAGATTTAGATTAAATTAATTAATTATATATATGTAAATTTTTTACAATTGATTGATTATAAATATTTGAGTTTACATAGCATAAAATTTTTAAGATTGACACGGCAACCGGCTTTAATTTATTTACAAAAAATTTTATATGTAAAATTCATATGAAATTTTTTTTTAAATTTAACAAAAACTGACCCGGCCGGGTTATGTAAACCATAATTACCAGTTTTCGTCGCCTTTGTTTTTTTTAAAAAATAAATAAATATAATGCCACACGTGATTTCAAATATGGTAATGTTTTCGAATATGGCACTAAAATAATATTTGAGACAATAATTTAAAAAAAAAACTTTCAATTTAGCTGAAATTACGATAGTAACCATCATCAATTTAATTACCCAAAAGTCTTATGAATACGATTGTACAACTTTTCACTATAAATCTAATTATTTTTAAAGTCAATTCAAAAACTTATGGTCGGCCTAATTGGTGCACATAAATTTACTCAAGCTCATTAAAATACATTTGTAAATAACTTTATCTTTCCGTAATTGAAATGGCGCTTTAAAGAGTTACAAAGGAATTGCGCAATTAGAGCGTAATCCAACACCGTTTGTGATGGGTCTATTGGGATGACTTTCTCAATTGGCAAGGGAAAAATGTGGGAAAGGAATCTTTTTCCTTGTCATTAATTTCCTTTAGATTATCCATTCGAACCACTAAAAATAAAATTAATAAGAATTATCATCCAAATATCAACAGCAATGGAACGATAAGTCTGGATATTCTAATGGATCATGGACTTTTGCTCTTACCATTCAGAAAGTACTTTTTATCTATTTCAATCCTTTACGTAACTTTTAATTTTATGCCTGAAATTGCGTATGTAACCATGAAACTACTGCTCGAAAATGACGCGCAAATATGCGTGCGTATAACTAAGTTATGATTATTTCATTACCTCCGATCATGTGAATTTGTGTATTAAAATAAAAGAATCTTTATTTTACCGCTGGTTTACATACTTTTTATCTTTTTATTTATCTTTTATTATATGGGCTCCCGTAACCTGATTTTAATAGATTAGCTCCCTCCAACAAAAGAAGATTTTTGATTCATATTATTATATGATTGCTGAACTTATTTGGTTAAATTTTATAGCCGGTAACATCAATCAAAGAAATTTAAAATTAGATTTATACAAAATTGGAACTCCCAGTAAAAATTTTTTTTCTTAGAAAATACCTTTTACCTGTTCGTTCAGGTCAGGTCAGGTCAAATGTTTGTTTGACCTGACCTGATCCTCTCAGTTCAGGTAACTTGATTGACCTGACCTGTTCGGAGCTCTAAGTGTAAAAATGTCATACCAAATATTTTGTGACTAAAGAGAAGGAGTGATTATATAGGGTGTGATAATAGAATTGATTTAATGACCGAAAATTTCTGTTCGAGAGGTAAAACATGGGAGTAATTTACTGGTGACGGACAGTTGCGGATATTGCCCCTTTTGGGTTATTGGTGAAAATGGTTTGTTAGTGAGTTGTCCTGGTTTTCAGTACTTAATAGCGGGAATATCACCTAAAATGAGTCAAAAAAAAAATCTTTAATTCTTGATCCATTAGAAAAAAAAAAGAAATTTTATTTCCAAAATGCACATTCTTCAGCATAACATACCTCAAAAACTATGATTTCGTCTAGCATGGCATTT